GATTTTATAATTTTTCGCCGGATTATCTCTATTTCAAAGCCGATTCCAACCGAACCGCTAAAACAATTGATATTTCAGTTGCTTTGCGCAACCAAATGCCCGCCCAAGCCTTATTGCCTTGCACCATTAAGGAAGTACACGTATTTACCAATTTTAATCCTAGCGAACCCATTCCCCAAAAGGTGTTTAATACATCCGATGGTACTTTTTTTTATAATCGCGAAGAGGATTTTCATTTGAATACCTATGCCAAAGCTATCACCATACACCCGGGTGACTTATATTCCGAAACCAGCACCAAAAACACCATAGAACAACTCAACAACCTCAATATCTACGCCAATATACAAGTAAAATATGAATCATTGGACACACTTGGGCAGCTTCGGGCGAATGTCCTTCTCACACCAAGCAAGCGCAATAAGGTTGAAATCTATGCCAATGCAATAGGATCACCGCAGTTATACGTAGGTGGGGAAGCGAGCGTCAGTTACCAGCGCAAAAACATAATGAATCGTGCCACCTCCTTCCATATTAAGTCCACTTATTCACACCTATGGATTCAAGACCGTAATCTTGGGAATTTCTTGCAATCTTTCAACCTAAATGCTGGTATTTCGCAGCCGTATTTTGTCAAGCGGAGAACACAAAGCAAAAGGAATCCACTTTTATCCTTTGAAACCACTGGCAACTATCGTATAGATTACCTGGAAATCCCAACAGATGTACCCACTTTTCCGAATTTTGGTATAAGAATAAAAGAATGGAACATAGCCGCCGGTATCTCCAAAAAAGCGCGACAGCACTCCTATTGGACACAAGAAATAAGACCACTAGTACTTAATTATCAATCTACGGCTATTTCACCGCGAATATTACAAGAAGAGTTACTCAAAGATTTGAATAGTGACACCTCACTACTGTTCATTGCGCCTCGCTTAGATTATGCACCATTTTTTTCGACATCTTACAATAACCGTTTTGCTGAAAATATCCAGACACCTTTGTTTTTTCGGCAATTCATTCGCTTCAAATACGGCAAATTCCTTCTTCCTGATAGCACCATAACTAATCTCAATCTATCCAGTATCCTACAATTGACTTACGAATCCAATTTTCAAATCAACCGGAAACTCTCCAAACGCCTCTTGTTTGCCGGTCGTTTTATAGGCAATATAGCCATGCCACTAGGCGATACTCCCCCCGAAAGCTTTGGTTTCAACGAATTGTATACCGTCGGCGGTAGCAACGGACTTCGTTCTTTTTCTCCGAGTAGCATTGGTCCCGGCGCTTTCCCTGCCGATTCTTCTGTCAACAACCTTGGGTTTTACTCCAAAACCGGCAATTTACTCCTACAAACCAACCTAGAAATGCGGTATAAAATCAAAAACTGGGAAACGGTACTCTTCACCGACATAGGTAACATCTGGAATACCTATACCTCCGGCGATTACCAAGATGCCGAATTTAGAATTTCAGGATTTCACAAGCAACTAGGCATAGGCAGCGGACTTGGGCTTCGTTATTATTTCAGCCTAATTATTTTGCGCCTTGATGTGGGTTTTGTGATACACAATCCATCCTTACGGTACGGCTCCCGATGGCAAAATCCTCTGCAAGGCAAACAAATACCGCGCTTAGTATTTACGGTGGGCCAGGCTTTTTAGGTTAAAAGGCAAAAGGTGCGTTTCCGGCGAAAGAAATCAACTTTTGAATTATATACACTTGTACTTTTCATTAATCCTCTCTATGCAGTATATCTGGGAAGGTGAGCCATGTACAGGCCACATTGTGGGTGGTCACCACCATAGTCCTTATTTTCCTGAAATATTGATTATCTTTGACAAGGTTGCTAAACGGTAGTTAACGATTAAATTAAAACTAGCCATAAATATCATGCAATACACACAAATTGCTATCACCTTGCTCTTGAGTGTCTTGGCAAATTGTAGAAATAGGCGGAAATGGTAGCACGTGCAGCAGGGATAGTAGCGTAAATGCCATTTTGCCTCTTTTTCCTAGGCTACGCGCAAAAAACAAGGGCAATCGTGGGACTGAACCACCACGACTGCCCTTGAGCGAAGGTAAAAAAGAGGCAAAATGGTTATTGCAGCGGATAGCCCGGCGACCAAAATCGCCGATTCCAACGCCTAAGCTACGCCAAAAAATAAAAGGCGGTTTTGGGTGGCTGCCATAATAGTTAACATCGTGGCGTTGATGGGGTTTGTTTTATATAGATATGTAAGAACATTTGTGCTGAAGTTGGTAAAATATGCAATGTTTTTGAACGTTTAAAAATAAAGACTACAGGACAATGAAATTATTTGTAACATTATTTGTGCTATTACTTGCTCAAATGACCTTTGCGCAAGTGACCTCGCCAAAGGATTCAACCAATGCAAACCCCAATTATGACCCGGCTTTAGCTGAAAAATTGGGAGGCGATGCTTACGGGATGAAGGGGTATGTCTTGGTTATCCTTAAAACCGGCACGAACCAAACGACCGACAAGGCTTTTAGGGATAGTTGTTTTCGTGGTCACATGGAGAACATCAATCTCTTGGTGAAAGAAGGTAAATTGATAGTGGCTGGTCCTCTTGGCAAAAATGATTTGACCTATCGCGGTATTTTTATCATGAATGTAGCGACTTTTGAAGAAGCTGAAAGTTTGTTGCAAAATGACCGAGCTGTGAAAGAAGGGATTTTTAATTATGAACTATTCAAATGGTTTGGGTCGGCGGCTTTGTCGGAATATTTGGAAGCTGCCGATAAGATTTGGCGGGATAAACCGTAGATTATTGTGTAAATATTAACTTTAAATAACTGATTATTAAATATGAGAATATTGTTTTTAGGGCTTATCTTATTTATTTCATGGAGTAGTTTTATCCAGAAGATTCAAGGGCAAGATGTGTTTGCCAAAGAAAAAATAGCAGGAAAAAATCTTGGGACTGGTTCGACTATTAAGGGTAAAGAATATGTGTTTCCGGATAGAATTGATGACTTTCATATTGATTCAACTAGCGGAATTTTTACAGTCCAATTGAGGGGTTTATCGAAAAATGGAAAGTGGCTGAATAACAAAGGAAAGTTAGTTCAATATAGCTATAGAAGTAAAAGGACATTGTGGACTAAAAAAATAGTATATCAAGTCGGTGGTGTGCAGCAATTTGGAAATACGCTGATTCATAGTGATGGTAATAAGAGCTTCTGCCTAGATAACATGACCGGAAATAAGCTTTGGGAGGTCAAAAATAATATGTATTTCGTTGACAAGAAGTCACGGATTGGTTTAGGATATGAATATAAAAGTACAAGTGGGTATTCAAATGACTTGGAAGGAATTAATTTAAATAACGGCAATGTAGTTTGGCGAAGAGTGATAAATAGGGAAAATGGTTGGAATGATTTGTTTTATTCCAATGATTCTACAATAATTGTCATAGCTGGAGGGTTACATTCTATTCATATAAAGTCAGGCCGGGGTTGGTCTTACAATACAATAACCGGTAAAAAGGATTATAAGAGAAATGTCGCAACTAATGCAGCAGGAGCAGCCATTGGTTTACTTACCGGAACTTTCATGTTTACCACTGGGCATGATGTTGTTGTAGATTTGGTGTCAAATGCGGTAGCAGACAGCTCCAATTTTTATTTTGCCTCAAAGGAGCAATTGGCAAAAATAGATAGACAAAATGGTAGAGTAATTTGGAAATTTCCATTTCCAAATGATGTGGCAAGTAAATCTTCCATTTTCTTAGATGACAGTATGGTATATATGGTCAATAAAGGAATGGCATACATGGGGCAACGCCCATTGGATTTTGGAAAACCTTTTTTTGCCGCATTCGACAAGAAAACTGGCAAACAGAAATTTATGACTATGATGGAAGATAAGCACGATGCGGTTTTAAGTAATAAGGTAAGCGATGGAGAATTGTTTTTGGTTTTCAAGAACAAGATGGCAGTTTATTCGATGGAAACAGGAAAAATGTTGAAGGAAAAGAAATTTGAGAAAAGCAGTTTCGGCGAATTATTGTCTTTTGTCGGGAGTCAGGTGTTTGTAACTGATAAGCAGGGAGATTTAATAAGTCTTCCACAATCTGATTCAACTAAAGTGTATGTTTATACAAGTCAAGATAAAGTATTGTCAATTGATAGACAATTGAATTTGGCAAATACAATTCAAAAGGATGGAATAAGTGTCTTTTATCTTAAGTCTAATGGTTTAAGGTTTGTTACCAAGGATAAAGTGACTTTGCTAATTGATGATGCAGGGAAAAAAATAGCTAAAATTGATGCGACGTCAAAGGCATTTTTGGTGGGTAATACCCTATATGATGTTCAAGATAGTAGTTTAATAGAAATAGATTTGCGTGAATTTTTGAAATAAGAATAAATGCGTGTTCTAATACTCGGTTTTGTAGAGAGGTTGTCGGAAACTATTAATCAATTTTCATGAAATTCATCAAACGCACAATTCAAGTTTTTTTCATTTTTTTAGCAGCTACTTTGTTGTTCCGAGGGTTTATTTATAGATATTTGGTTGATTATCAATCTATTGGGCAACGTGCCAATTTTCCGGCAACAAACGATAAACTCATTGAATATTTCAATACAAGCGTTGAGAGGCAAACCAACCTTGATGTTCAACAAATCATCAAACTTGCACTTTCCCTGACCTCCAAACACTTACATTTTGCCTCAAGTCGAAGTGAAAATGACCCCAATCAGCTCATCAGAACGAAAGGAGCTAATTGCATTGGTTATGCTGCTTTCTTTGCAACGTCTTGCAACTATTTATTGAAGAAAAATGGATTGTCTGGCAATTGGGGCGCAAAACCGCAAATCGGGCAAATCTATATTTGGGGTGTCAACGTTCATCCATATTTTGATTCGTCGTTCTTTCGAGACCACGATTTTGTGATTATCGAAAACAAAGCCACCGGAGAGGTGTTTGCTGTTGACCCGACTATCCATGATTATCTTTGGATTAACAGCATAACATTCAAGAAGAAATGAGCGAAACTCAACAAATAAAAATCATTCAAGCATCCCTTTCTGATATTGAAGAATTACAAAATATCGGCAGGCAAACCTTCTTTGATACTTTTGCGCCTTATAATTCTGAGGCGAATATGCAAAAGTACCTAGAAGAAAAATTTTCTGCCGAAAAGTTGGCGTGTGAGCTTGCTGACGAAAATTCGGTCTTCTATTTCGCTTCGCTAGAAAACGAAGTGGTAGGCTACCTTAAACTCAATTTCGGACCAGCACAAACCGAACTAAATGACGGTAAAGCACTGGAAATAGAAAGGATTTACGTGCTTGAAGCGTTTCATGGTAAAAAGGTTGGGCAGGTGCTCTACCAAAAAGCCATTGAAATTGCTAAGCAGAAAAATATGGAATATGTTTGGTTGGGTGTGTGGGAGCAGAATACCCGCGCCTTAAACTTTTATAAGAAAAATGGTTTCGTTGAGTTTGATACGCACTTATTTGTTTTGGGCGATGAAGTGCAAACGGATTATTTGATGAAATTGCAATTGTGAAAAATTTTATATAATTTTGCAGAACTTAGGACGCGGTTAAGGAAATTAATTCAGCGCGAATTTTCGGAAACATTCAAAAAAAAGGTGAGATTTGCACCAAAAATTACAGATGCGTATAGTGTTTATGGGTACACCGGAGTTTGCAGTGCCTTCTTTGCAGATTTTGGTGGAAAATGGTTATGAAGTAGTCGGTGTAGTCACTATGCCCGATAAGCCCGGTGGTCGCTTGGGCACCATCGAGTCGCCGGTGAAGAAGTATGCACTCTCCCAGGGCTTGAAGGTAATGCAGCCGCCAAAGCTCAAGAACCCAGAGTTTCTCGAAGAACTTCGGGCTTTGAGGGCGGATCTGCAAGTTGTAGTAGCATTTCGTATGCTGCCAGAGGTGGTGTGGAATATGCCACCGAATGGCACCATCAATCTGCATGGGTCATTGTTGCCTAAGTTTAGAGGGGCAGCACCTCTCAATTGGGCGGTCATAAGTGGCGCCAAGGAAACCGGGCTAACCACCTTTCGTCTCACACACGAAATAGACACTGGCGATGTGTTTTTCAGGGAAAAAGTAACCATACTCGACACCGATACTGCCGGCACACTACACGATAAAATGATGCCCATTGGCGCTGAATTGGTACTACGCACGGTGCAAGCCATTGAGCGAGGTGTATATAAGTTGCTCCCACAATCACATGCCAAGGCTACGCTCGCCCCCAAGATATTCACCAACGATTGTATCATTGATTTCAATAAACCCGTTCGGAAAGTATTTAATTTTATTCGCGGTATGAGCCCATACCCGGGGGCCTTCACGATATTGGATGAGAGCATCTTCAAGATATTGTCAGTGCGTATGGAGGAAATAAAACCATCGCATCGCATCGGGACATTTGTGAGCGATGGCAAAAGTTATCTTCGCATTGCCTGCAAGGGTGGTTATATCCTTGCAGATGAGGTGCAAATGGAAGGGAAACGCCGACTGGCAGTAAAGGATTTTTTGAATGGATATTCGCGAGAGTGGATCAAATTGTAAAACTATAAGTAATTATGAATGAAGTAGCAACCATAGATTATAGAAATTATTCGAAAGATAATCCATTGCAATTAGTCATGCTGATTTCATTTAGGCTCAATTATGATTTCAAGTTGCTAGCAGAAGGCTAATCAAAGCCCCAAGTGCGATTTGTCCTCTTTTTCTAATATTATGTAAAAATTCAAAGAAAGCTAAATAAAAAGGGAGTTTTTCTTGAGAAATCCCCCGATGTGGTCTAAGCCAAGGTCTAAGAAGCGACCAAAATCCTTCCATCGTGTTGACATGTACTTCATGTTTACCATCTCCATCCTCATCTCTGGCATATTCACCTGCGCTATGGTTGACCCTTTTGTGAGTATATGTACTTGATAACCAATTATATATATTATATTCATCGGTATAAACAGTACTACCCGTTTTAACAAAGGCTCGAATTATCGGCTCTATCGTAGTTCGTTTCACATTGTCCAACATACGAATAATCACACAACTATTGCGCTGAATCATACCCAAAACGGGCGGTTTATCTTCTTGTGCAGTTCCACGACCTCGCTTGCCTTTCAAGCGTCGCCGCCGTCCTTTTCGCCCTTTTTTTTTACACTTGAGGGCTTTCCTTTATGTCCTGCTATCAAATATAACTCATCAAACTCAACTTCTCCTTCCAATTCCTCCTGTGGACGTTTTTCATAAACCCCTTCTCGTAAAATACTCGTCATGGCGTGGATGTCATTACCACTTAGCCCTAATTCTTTCCCTATTTGCGCATTTGACAAGTTCAAACTCATTAAATACAGACAAATTATCCACACTTTTAGCGGCTGATGATGACCCTCAAATATTGTATGGGTTAAATCATCATAGTATTTTGAACAGCTTTTGCACTGATAACGATAGCGATGTTCACTACTATTATGATAACCATGGCGTTTATGATGAAAACTGCCACAATGAGGACATTTTACCCCTTCTCTGGTGGAATCAAGTGCATGAAAAAGTATCGTGTTCGCCAGTAGTTGATCTAGCAAATATACTTTATTGTACAAAAAAGGGCGTTTCTATTTATGAAAAAGTCGTTGAACTTTAGTATTAACTCGGTTCACATACACGCCAATATTTCCCCGCACACCCACCGAATATCCGCCTCCTCAATCGTGAGCGGTGGTGCAATGCGCAAGCTACAATCATTGAATAGAAACCAATCGGTGATAATGCCGCGTTCCAAGCATTTTTTGATGACATCGAGCACCTTGGGGAATCCGCCGTGGAGCTCCACCGCCAGCCAAAGTCCGGCGCTACGCACCTCTTTTATTTCGGGATGTACCATAAGCTCAAGGAAAAGCTTTTCTTTAACGGGCACTTGTGCAATGAGGTTGGAGGCGAGGATTGTCTGTAAGGTAGCCAATGCCGCCGCAGCGCACACCGGATGACCACCGAAGGTAGTGATATTGCCTAGCGGAGGGGCATAAGAGAGCACATCCATCACCTTTTTTGAGGCGAGAAATGCACCTATAGGCATGCCTCCACCAAAACCTTTGGCAAGCAGCAACACATCGGGCACGATGCCGTAATGCTCATAGGCGAAGAGCTTGCCTGTGCGCCCGTAGGCAGCCTGTATCTCATCGAGTATGAGCAGTGCGCCCACTTGTGTGCATCGTGCGCGCAAGGCTTGTATCCAAGGTGCATTGGGGCTGTGGAGCCCCGATTCGGCTTGTACGGTCTCCACTATGACGCAGGCAGTGGATTCATCTATGGCGTCAAGGTCGGCTAAGTTGTTGTATCTAATATGGTGGATATTGGGCAGTAAGGGTCGATAAGCATCAGTAAAGAAGGTGGGCGACATGAGGCTGGCTGCGCCTTGTGTGCTGCCGTGGTAGGCATGGGGACAAGCGAATATCTTGGCTCTTCCTGTGTATCTTTTGGCGAGTTTCATGGCGCCTTCGGTAGCTTCGGAGCCACTATTGGTGAAGAAAACTGCATCGAGCTGGTGGTTGGTTTTTTCTGCCAGTAAGGTAGCGAGTGCCACTTGGGGCTGGAGTATCATTTCGCCATAGACGAGTGTGTGCCAATAGCGATCAAGTTGCTGTTGCACAGCGTGTTGTACTGCCTCGTGCCTATGCCCAAGTACGCTCACGCCTATGCCCGATATGAGGTCGAAATACGCCTTGCCGGTAGTGTCATAAAGGTACAGCCCCTCGGCACGCGCTATTTCGAGTGCCATAGGGGCTGTGGAGGTCTGTGCTATATGTTGGAAAAACAACTGTCTGTTGGTCATGTTTTTTGACTTCAAAATTCTAAACTCATGTATTCTACATTCATGTATTCTGATACTGCGTGTTGACGGGGATAATGATTTTTATGTTTTTTATGATGGGGTTATGATTTTTTCTATGATTGCGTGTGAGATCCGAACGCGGATGAGACGGGTTAGGCGGATGAGAACGGATTTTTCCTTATTGCGTGTACTCGATTTTAACGGATATTTCGCTTACGCGAAATGAAACGGATTAGAACGGATTTTTTTCTTATTGCGTGTGAGATCCGAACGCGGATGAGACGGATTAGGCGGATTTGTCACGGATTTTTTCCTCATTGCGTGTGAGATCCGAACGCGGATGAGACGGATTAGGCGGATTTGTCACGGATTTTTCCTCATTGCGTGTACTCGATTAGAACGGATATTTCGCTTGCGCGAAATGAAACGGATTAGAACGGATTTTTAAAATCAAAAATCGAAAAAATCGTAAATCGAAAAAATCGTAAATCAAAAAAATCGTAAATCGTAAATCGAAAAAATCGTAAATCGAAAAAATCGTAAATCGAAAAGCGTAAGGGATAGAAGTGGAAATAGCCATAAAAAAGTGCCTTGCTGTACTGCCCAAGCTTTGCAGTAAACCTTGAGGCACTTTTTTATGGCTATTGGAACGGATAGCCCGACCCCACCAGCCCCGCGGATAACACTAAGCTACCTACGCTGTAAAAGGGCTGGTGGGGATACGCCATCTTTAGAAAAAATCCATGTGAAATGGTGTTTTTTAATCTAACTTGAGCGCCTTTGGCTTCACAATCGTAAATACACGAGCGATATTGAAGCCCAAGCGAAGTCCGCTCATGGTTTTGCCGGTAGCGTCATCTTTGAAGAACCAAGGCTCTTGTGTTTCGGTGATGAACCCTTTGTAGTTCATGTAAGGTGAATTGGTTACATGGAACTGGAAAACGTGCCCACCTGTGTCGATATCGAAGCCCAAAGAGAGTGAATTGGTGTATTTATCGTTGATTTGGTCGGGTAGCACATAGTAGTACTCTGCGTTGAAAGTCACCCAATTGGTGAGTTTTATTCTACCGCCTACCCCAAGAGAAAGCACGGAGTTTTTCTCGTCATCGGTGGGTACTAGGTTGCGATGCACCAAAGTTGGCATCAATTGGAGCGACAGAGATTCGGTCATTTTTCTTCCAATAAGCAGTTGGTGTGTGTAGTATAAGCGGTCAGAAAAGAAGTTTTCAGCAGTTTCATCGGCAAATTTGATGGTTTTTACCTGCACATCAGCCAAGTAGGAAAGCGTGATAGGCATATTTTTTTTGCCGGTAGATTGGCGAAGTATTTTGTATTTCACAAATCCATCGATGATTTTTTCGTAGCTGCTACGACCTATACCCACCATAAGTCGGTCGGTGATGCCATAATCTGCGCCAAACCTGATGCCGGCGCCATCCAGTCCGATAAGGTCATAAATACCATTGCGAATAGGCGAAAAACGGTGCGAAATCTTAAAATCTAGAACACCTTTTGCTGTGTTTTCGATGGAGTGACCATTCACTATCCTATTGGTTTTGAAAGTGGCCGTAGTGTAGATGATAGACTCATCGCCACCTATTTGGTCGAGCAGACTGCTCTCCGGTTGAGCAAACGATGGGGTTGTGCATGCAATAAAAAAGCATATCACAAGAAAAGAATGTAAAACTTTCATAGTTTTTGAATAATAATGAAAAAATAGCTAGACGAAACCACAAAGGTAATCGTATATTGTAAATAAATAGTGCTGACTGGAATGGATTTGTATTTATATTTTTACTTTTGCAGCCAAAGCTAGTATACTCAATACCCCTCCTTTCTCATTCGCTCATTAATACGAAACATTTTTTATGAAAGTTGTCATACCGGTAGCTGGAGTCGGCACAAGATTGCGACCACACACATATACTCAACCCAAACCGCTTATGCCGGTGGCCGGTAAGCCCATTATTTCGTTTATAATCGACAAGTTTTTGGAAGTCGGTATCACCGATTTTGTATTCGTAATAGGTTATCTAGGCGACAAAATACGAGCTTTTATAGAGACACACTACCCACAAATCAATGCAGAATTTGTGGTGCAGGAGCACCGTGAAGGCTCTGCCCATGCGTTGTATTCTGCAGGAAGCCTCATCGAAAATGAAAAAGAAATATTTATTGCCTTTGGCGATACTATTTTCGATGTGGATCTCCGCTTGATGCTGGAATGTCCACATAACTGCGTAGGCGTAAAAAAAGTGAGTGACCCGCGCGACTTTGGTGTGGCGGAGTTTGATGAAGACAACTTCGTGAAAAAATTGATTGAAAAACCCAAAATACCCAAGTCAAATATGGCTTTAGTGGGTATCTATAAGATAATGGATGTAAGGCAATTGCTCCATGCTTGCCAAGAAAATATACGAAACGACCAGCGCACCATCGGTGAGTTTCAACTCACCGATGCGCTTCAGCGTATGATTGAGCAAAAAGCACAGATGAAAGTACTCCTGGTAAAAGATTGGTACGACTGCGGGCGCAAAGAGGTACTCCTCGAAACCAACGCCATGCTACTCGGCAAAAAAGGCTATAGCGACGATTTTGACTTCCCCGACTTCGAAAACACCATCATCGTGCACCCTGTGAGCATTGGCACCAATTGCCGCATCACCAATAGCATCATCGGACCCAATGTATCCATCGGCGACGATGTGGAGATCAATTCTTCCATCATACAAGATAGCATAATCGGTAACTTTGCGGGGCTTCATGAGGTCGTGCTCAAGCACTCCGTCATCGGTAGCGACGCCACCATACACGGACAAAACCTGAGCCTCAATATTGGGGATAATACCGAGATTGATTTCAACTAAGGAATGAGAACTGCTGCTAGAATTTTGGCTTAAACACAGGCGTATTCACCCGTTTTGCCATCGAACGCTCCGCAGTGATAGGCAATTCCACCGGTTTTTGCAGGCACCGCGTGAATATTTTCTCTATAATTTCGCGGCTCACGCCCTTGCCTATAAACACAATCTTGCTCTGACGCACCTCATCGGCACGCCACGGCGTACCATCCGAAAAGTCGAGCATCTCGCGCACCGACTGCAAAACCACCTTCACCGGACAGTTCTCCGCCGCAATAATGCCCTTCACCCTATACACCTGGTGTTGGTACAAGTGCAGCAGCTTCGTCAGTTCGTAATGCAGCTCGCGCATCTCAAATTCCCTATCAAAAGTCAGCGTAAACGACACAATATCATGGTGTTGGTGCTTGTGTTGGCTATTTACCCGCGCCGATTGTTGCACCGCGCCCTCCAGTTCGGTAGTCGATATGGCAAGTATCTCCGCCACCGGAAACTTCCCACGCGCGCCCGCAAACACCTCCGCCATAGGGTTTATCCCCTTCAGCACTGCCGTCAGGCGCTCCACATCTTCGGCTTGCACCAAGTCCGTCTTGTGTAGCAGCATCACATCGGCAATCACCAATTGTCGGCGCGCCTCATCCGTATCGCGCAGCGCATCCTCGAGGTGGCGCGCATCGGCAAGGCAGATTACATTGATAAATTGGAAATACTGCTCCATCTCCAGATTGCCCAAAAACGCCTGCATCACCGCCGCAGGGTCGGCAATGCCCGTCGTCTCAATGAGCAAACGGTCATACTCATGCCTCCGCCGCGCAAGGTCATACAGCACCTCCGCCAAGTCATCGCTCAGCGAGCAGCAGATACAGCCCGCCGTCAGTTCCAGCACATCCTCCGTGCCCTCCATCACCAGCGCGCCATCTATATTGGTGTCGCCCACCTCATTTTCAATCACAATAATGCGCTCCGGCAGCCGCTGACGGATGATTTCGTTGAGGAAAGTCGTCTTTCCCGCCCCCAAAAAGCCCGAAATAATGTGCACCGGGATACGTTTGTGACCGCTTGTAATAGGTATTGATACTTCTTGCATTTGCACTTCCAATGATTGTGAAGTGCAAAGATAGAGCATATTCATAGTTCATAATTCATAACTCATAATTATTTGGGCAGCCGCCTCAAAAAAACTGCCATTTTGTGTTGTCAAAAACGCTTAGGCAGTAGAATCGGCAGTTTTTTTGATTCGCCGGGCTATCCGCTACAATAGCACTTTTTGTGCCTTTTTCGCTTCGCGTTTGGGTAGACGGGGTAGCTACGTAGCACTGCAACGGCTTGGTTTTCGTTCGTAATTTTACGGAAAAAGGCACAAAAAGGGCTATTTTCGCTACTATCCCTGCTGCGGGGCACACTACAACCGCAACAGTTTTTTCGAGTTATGTTTCACAGGCTTAGGAATGGGCATAAATTTGGAATAGAGATATGTACGCTGGCTATTTACACCGATGGAAATAAACTATTTCACCCAACATGTTATGAAAGGGAACTATTGGGAGTGAAAGAGTGAAAAGAGTTCTGCGTATATCTGCGCGCAGCTAAATCTGCGTATATCTGCGGGAAACCACACGCAAAGTGCCTCCGGATTTGTGAAAATTTGGGGTTGTGTAAAAAGGCAAAGGGCAAAAAAGCAAAGGGCAATTCACGTTACAAATGATTAAAATATTCCGTATTTTCGGTTTATCATTCTGAATTAGAGCATTAGTTCGAATTAATAAACGGCACAAAATTACATTTTTGCCTTTTGCCCTTTGCTTCTTGCCTTTTTACACACCCCCGCAGGCAGTGCAATTTTCCGATTAATCGGGACAGGCAGTGGCAAAAAAGTGAAAATAAATTTTTTGTTTCAAAAAAGTCTTGTATCTTTGACACAAAATGTGTCGCAAGTCGTTGGGCTAAATTAATCGACATTATTTTTTCTAAGGAAAACGCTTTAAAATTGTAAGTAATTGACTGTAAGGAGATTACTTACAATTTTAAAACGTTTTCAAAAATAATATCAATTAATTTTTGACGCCTACTTATATGAATCACTCGCACCATCATACCTCGCACCAAAAGCCCGTAACGGCGCCAAAAAGTGCTGATAATCAACATCATAACGCAGCAGCACAAGCACCTCATGCTGCCTCCGACGACCCAAAGGCGGAGATATTTGCCAAACTCCATCCATGGGCTAAGCACATCCTCAAGTATGCCGGTATGCTTGTGGATTTCCCCAACTACCTATCCATCCACGCCGGTGGCATATTGGTGAGCGAAGAGCCACTGAGCCACCACACCGCTCTGCAGATGATGCCCAAGGGATTCCCTATTACACATTTCGATATGTATGCCGCCGAAGATTGGGGCTACCATAAGTTTGATGTTTTGAGTCAGCGCGGGCTAGGGCACATTAAGGAAACGGTGGATTGGGTGAAGCGCAACCAAGATAAAAGCGTAGAAATACACGATATAGAAGCCATCAAAGCAGACAAAAATGTGCGCGCCCAACTGAAAAGCGGCAAGTGCATTGGGTGTTTTTATATAGAGAGTCCTGCCATGCGTGGGCTGCTGAGCAAGCTGCGGTGCGAAGAGTATGTGCATTTGGTGGCAGCGAGCAGCATCATACGTCCGGGGGTGGCGCGCTCGGGCATGATGCGCGAGTATATACAGCGTTTCCATCAGCCCAATGGATTTGAGTACATACACGATACTTTCAAGGAGTACCTGGGTGAGACCTTCGGTGTGATGGTCTATCAGGAAGATGTGATGAAGATATTGCATCATTTTGCGGATATCAGCCTCGATGAAGCCGATATTATGCGCCGTATGATGACGGGTAAGAAGCGATCTTCGGCAGATTTTGCGCGCTTGGAACAGAAGTATTTCGACAACTGTAAGGCGAAGGGACACAGCGACGAGCTTGCCGCCGAAGTATGGCGGCAGATTGAGAGCTTTAGCGGTTATTCGTTTTGCAAGGCGCATTCGGCGAGTTTTGCGGTGGAATCGTACCAGAGTCTGTACCTGAAGACCTATTTTCCGGTGGAGTTTATGGTGGCGGTGATTAATAATTTCGGCGGATTCTACCAGACGGAATATTATGTGCATGAGGCACGTATGTCGGGAGGCACGGTGCATGCGCCTTGCGTGAATAGGAGCGAATACAAGACTAGCTTGACAGGTACAGATATTTGGTTGGGGTTTGTGCATCTGCAAGGCTTGGAGCAGCAGGTAGCTATGGCTATTGTGGAGCAGCGGCGGCTTCATGGTGCATACAAAGGGCTGGAAGACTTGGTGCAGCGCGTGGCGATATCGCCTTCGCAATTGGTGATACTTATACGCATTGGCGCGCTGCGTTTTACAGGGTTGTCGAAGTGCCAATTGTTGTGGGAGCGCAACCGTGTGATGCGCCCCGATGTAAAGACCAACGTAGGCATGGCTTCGCTCTTCGAATCCTTTGATAATGAGCAGTTTACGCTCCCTAAGCTCGATGAGAGCGACACGCCACAAGCGCTGGAAGAGATGGAGTTGTTGGGCTTTCCACTTTGCTCTCCCTTTGAGCTACTGCGCGATAGCGATACAGCGATGGTGCAGCCGGCTACTCAGGCTTTTTTGCAAAAATCCATCGGCAAACCCATCACCGTATTGGGTTACTATGTGTGCCGAAAGCATACCACCACCGTAAAGGGCGATCTCATGAATTTTGGCACTTGGATAGACCGCGAGGGGCATTTTTTTGATACCGTACATTTCCCCGATGCGCTGAAACTACATAATTTTACGGGTAAAGGCATCTATCGCATATCAGGTAGGGTAGTGAGCGATTTCGGCTTCCTCAGCATAGAGGTGCAAGCTATGGAGCGGCTGCCGTGGGTGATGTAGGTGGCGCTCCGCATTCATGTCACTTTTTAAAAAATGTTGTGTTTGAGCAATCGGCAAACATATTGTAAATAAATGAATATTTTTTTAAAAATATATATGTCTTTTGCTTGCATTGTAACAGCAAAGCACCTACCTTTGGGCTAAGAATGAAGCAGTTCCCTCCTGTTTTTGTCACAAACACTAAATGTTTTCTTGTTTTAATACCAGCCGACTTTTCATTTAATCCACATTGCTATCATCATTATAATTTCATGTTTATGCTTAGAATCTTTACAAGCTTTTGTTTGTACTGTACCCTTAATTTTATTTTACCATGTCACATTTTTGCGCAAACTAACGACGCAGACAAACTTCCACTAGCAGCCAATAAGGGTACCGGTGCCATTTATAAGGGCAACACAGTACACGGATATTTCCGTTTTTTTAAATTATCGGATGTGGATGCCGTTCAGAGCAACTACAAACTCTTTTTTTATGACCAAAACGCCACTGTGGTTTCCGTAAAGGAGTTTACGGAAGAGGTAGGCTTGGCTGCTAAGGAGGCAGTACACGATGGCGTGGCCACTTTAGTGAAATTCAGAAAGGGCAACAACGACCTCTATATTGTATTTGAGGCATCGGGCGAGATAGTGTCGAAACTCCGCAAAATGGATCAATTCAAGACCACCAATACCGGGCGGCAGCCTGAAAATATGCCGGAGAATACCCTCTCTATTATAGAGGGCAAGGGGTTTGTGGATTTCAGTCTCACCAAAAAAGTGGATAACTCTTTTATCCCGAGTTATATGGTCAATTTTATACCGAACAATAAGTACCAAAAAGAGTGGTACTACAGCCCCGATGTAGGCAATAAAATACGCGAGTCGGCTCAGTTTTTGACTACAGATAAGGAAGTCATATATTCAAAATTGATAAAACGTAAGTCGTTGGATGCGACTAATTGGGACGAATATCTCTTGGGCATAGAGGTGGCTACGGGCAAGAAGCTTTTTGAGGTAAGGATAGCCGATGATCATGCCAAGCTCACACTCCAAAAGGCATCGATAGATTGGGAAGGCAACGTGCAGTTGTACGGCTTGTACTACGATATAGAATCTCCTGGGATGATGGAGAAGAGCAGTGGCATTTTTTACATAAAAACAGACAAAAAGGGAGACGTGAAGGAGAAAAAACTCGTGTCGTGGCAAGATAAGCACACTGCATTGCAAGAAGACCCCAAGAAGTTTTTGTCGGGCAGCAGCCGCATATATATGAAAGAGTTGTTTTTCACTGCCGGCGATCGCCCCAACTTGGTAGTAGAAGCGGGCGATTATATTCTTTTGCTCAATTTTGATGAAAAATTTGCGTTGGTGGGCGGCAAAACTGTATTCAAAACCAAGCGTGGCTATGTGACGAAGGTGGATGGCTCGGAAGATGGGGCTTACAAATTCACGCAAGTGAGCGACGACAAATCGACCTACAGTGTAGCATTTGTGGATCAAAACGCTACTGCTCCCTATCTCCGCATGATAAAGTATGCAGGTGGTAGCCTTGTGGAGGAGGAGTTGCCCTTCGATCCCAAAGCCACGCACACGCAACCGCTCAATGCCAAAATCGGGTACGTGCTGCTTTTTGACTACTTCCAAGAGTTCAAAAAAGTGGAGTTCCGCTTGGTGGAGTCTGGTGCAAAGATAAGGTAATAGATCGCAAGAGCGTGAGGGATAGTAGTGGAAATAGCTATAAAAAATCGCCTGCAAAAAGGCCAAAGCGTTAGTAATAAGGCAAATAGGCGATTTTTTATAGCTATTGCGACGGATAGCCCGACCCCAAAACCGCCTTGTACGGCCGCCTGAGCTAAGTATTAGTACCTAGCGGCGGTTTTTGGGGACACGCCATAATGCCCCATAGCGCTAAGCTACGCTGTAAAACCCAATAGCGTAGGTCATGCTATTAAACTTCGGATGCCTACGGCATATCAGAAAACCCGCCCTCCAAATCATTGATGATATCCTGCACATTTTCGATGCCAACCGAGAGGCGAATGAGTCCATCGGTGATGCCATTGCGCAGGCGTACCTCGGGTGGCACGCGTAGGTGCGAGCTGGAGGCTGGGTGGAGCACCAAGGTGTCGGTGTCGCCGAGCGTGGGCGCGAGGGTGCAGAAACGCAGGCGATTCATGAAGGCAACGCCGGTATCGAAGCCACCTTTGAGCTCGAAGCTGAGCATGGCACCAAAATCGGACATCTGCGCGCGCGCGATGGCGTGGTCGGCGTGCGATGGCAATCCAGGGTAGTTTACTTTGGCTACGTTGGGGTGATTTTCGAGGTATTCGGCGATGGTTTGTGCGTTTTTGCAATGGCGCTCCATGCGTACGGCGAGGGTTTTGAGCCCATTGTGCGTGAGCCAGGCCTCAAATGGGCTGCAGTTGGTGCCTGCGAGCTTCATGGCATTCCATATTTTTTTGCGGAGAAGGGTTTTGTCCTTGGCGACGATGGCGCCTGCTATGCTATTGCCGTGTCCATTGAGAAATTTGGTGGTACTGTGTACGCAGAGATCGACGCCTAGGCGCAAAGGTTGTTGCAGGTATGGCGTGGCGAAGGTATTGTCTATGCAGCTGAGGGCGCCGTGGCGAGTGGCTAGCTCCGCCAATTCGCGTATGGGTAAGCAGGCGAGGGTAGGGTTGGAGGGCGTTTCGAAGTATAGCAGACGGATGTTGGAGTGTTTGTGGAAGGCGTCTTCTACGGCTTGGAGGTCGCGAAGATTCATGAAAATGGTGGTGATGCCGAGGGGTTCGAGGAGTCCGCGGAAGAGCTCGGTGGTGCCACCATAGAGGTTTTCTTGGGTGAGTATGGCGTCGCCGGCTTGGAGTATGCCTATGGCGAGGGTAGAAATAGCCGACATGCCTGAGGAGGTGAGTATGGCATCGGCTTGGATGTCGGGTGAGCCATGCGATTCGAGCTGTGCGATTTTGGCGGCTACGGCATCGACGGTGGGGTTGCTGTAGCGCGAATAGGTGTTGCCGCTCTCAATGTTGTTGAATATTTCTATGCCTTGATCTATGTTGTCGAAACAGAATGAGGATGTGGCATAAATAGGCAAAATATGCGGTGCGGTAGTGATTTTGGGGTCAAACTCCTTGACGCAAATAGAATCGATGTTCATATAAGTTTATTTTTTATCGATGTTGTTGGTGCAATCGAGTTGGCGCATAAGCGCATCGACGTTGTAGATAGGGTAGTCCTCAAAGCCTGTGCTCCAATTGACGCGTATTTTATCCAATTCTTTGGCAGCAATGGCTACCAAAGCGTTTTTGTCGAGCAGAAACTGTCCTTCATATGTAGTAAAAGTGTTGGTGGGGTCCACGGTGCCGCTATCGCTTTTTTGGTTGTAGAGCGTAATGGTTGCGCCATTCACAAATTTGAGCGTCACGATAGCGTTTTGGCTGAGGGCACCAAAGCCGACTTTGGTATTGGCTTCCTGAATAACAAAGTCGATATGCAAGAAGGTGAGGGCGCCCAAGCGGCTGATGTAGGTATTTCCGGTAATGTGGGCCTTGTCTTTTATGTATTGCTTGAGGAAGTCGTTGGTGTATTGAAAGAGCACTTCGGGCTTGAGTTGAGTCACTTTTTCGCCTGAAAACTCGTCGGTACCTTGGCGTGCGAAGGCGCAAGGCGATTTGGGCGGGAAGAGCATCACATCTGCTTCGGGTTTGTATTTGGCGTATTGTTTGGCGTTGGTAGGCGTAGTAGTAGGCTCAAGTTCTACATGGTTGGTGGTAGTAGGGGGCTCAGGGGCATTGGGGGTGGGCTCCGGAAGGGTTTCTTGGTTTTTTTGTGGCGTATTGGCGGGCGTATTATGGGTTTCTTCGCGGGAGTAGGTGAGATTATCCTGTTTAGCCTTTGCGAAGGAAGCTAAGTCTAGCTCCAAGTCTTCGTTTTCGGCTATTTCATTGAGTGTAGCGAAGGCTTCTTGGGCGGCGGTGAGTTGTGAGCGGATTTCAGTAACCTCAAGTTTGGAGATATTGATAATCTTTGTGGTAAGCGTTTTGGCTTTTTTTCTTACACTTGCGAGCTTGTTGTCGAGTTCTTTTACTGTGGCTATTTCGGTTTTGGTTTGTTCAATGAGGCCTTTATTTTCCTTTTTGTTTTTGCTGAAGACGACGAGGTTTTCGCGCAAAAGTGAAAGGTGGTATGCGTTTTTCTGGTAGTCAGTGATGATTTGATTTTCGAGGATGACTGCCCTATCGGCCAGCGTAAATATATACCTTTGTATGATTTCGTCGGGTATAGAGTCCCAATTGTCTAATTGTCGGAAGAAGTTTTCTTGCGTTTGGTCTAAAAGCTTTATATTTGCAGGCAATTGGAGTGCGCTCCGCTCTTGAAGTTGAATACGCTCTGAAGCTAGGCTGTCATCTACGCTTTTGGGGGTGAGCTGCGCAAATAATCCCTGCGTTCTGCTAGAAAACATGAGCAGGGGCAGCAATACCCACGTTAGCAATGTGGGTGACGAAATGGCTTGGGTAACAGTAAGGCTCAATTTGAGGCAATTTATTAACTTCATATCGGAGAACTTTAAGTAGTTTGGCGCAAAAATGCGAATAATATAATTAATGACCGCAAAAAAATAGCATTTTATCATCAGGTTGCTAGTACATTTGCTTTATTTCTCATTTCTAGGGAATGATTGTAGTGTGATAATTCCTAGCTTTAACATATAAACTATTACTAATGATTCGACAGTTATCCAATTTATTTATTTTCTTAACATTTATCCTTACAGTTACCTGTATCATCTCTTGCGGCGATATGTCAAAAACTAGTACCAAAACCGACGATTTTACTTTCAAAGAAATACCCGTCACCTATCCCGCTACCAAGCGTGACACTACGGTGAGCGATACCTATTTTGGCGTAAAAGTAGCCGATCCTTACCGATGGCTCGAGCTCGACAATGCCGAAAACACCAAAGAATGGGTGAAACAGCAAAATATCGTGACCAACGGCTACCTCAGCCAAATACCTTATCGCGAAAAAATATTGGCACGCCTCAATGAAATATGGAACTTCGAAAAGTTTGGATCGCCATTCAAAAAAGCAGGAAAATACTATTTCTTTAAAAACGACGGTTTGCAAAATCAAAGTGTGCTCTACCGACAAGATAATCTTCAAGCAGAGCCTGCAATGCTGCTCGATCCCAACACTTTTAGTAAAGATGGCACCAGCTCTCTAGGAGAATTATCGATCTCCAAAGATGGCAATTACATGGCTTTTACCATCTCCACAGGGGGCTCCGATTGGCGCAATATCGTAGTGCAAGATCTTAAAACCAATCAAATGCTCACCGATACTATCCGTTGGGCTAAGTTTACCGGCATCGCTTGGGAAAAAGATGGTTTTTACTACAGCCGTTTCCCCGAGCCTGCCAAAGGCGATGAACTTTCTGCCAGCAACCAGTTTGGCGCCATTTATTACCACAAATTGGGTATCCCTCAGTCCGCCGATCCGCTCATATTTGCCGACAGATCGCACCCAAACCGCTTCTTCTCTGCCGAAACCTCCGAAGATGAAAAATATCTACTCCTCTCCGCCAGCGAAACCACCAGTGGTAATATGCTGTATTGCAAGGACTTATCCAAGCCGGGAGCTTCTTTTGTGCCTATTAGCGACAACTTTGATAGCGACTTCAATTTCATTGATAATGTAGAGGGCAAACTCTTGTTCATGACCAACAAAAAAGCGCCAAACCGCCGCCTCATAAGCGTAAGTGCCGCCCAACCCGAAGAAGAATACTGGGAAAATATCATACCCGAAAACTCCGACGATGTGCTTCAGAGCGCCAGCCTCTGCGGCGGCAAAATCGTTTGCCAATACCTCCACAATGCCAGCAGCTCGCTCAAAGTTTTCTCCCTCGATGGTAAACTCGAAAAAGAGGTCTCCCTCCCGGAAATAGGTACAGTAGGTGGCGTAAGTGGCAATAAAGACGATAAAACTGCCTTCTTCTCTTTCCAATCTTTCCTCCGACCCAATACCATTTACAGCCTCGATATGGGTACTTTTGACGTAAAACCTTTCAAAGCACCCAAAATTGCATTCAATCCCGATAGTTTCGAAACCGAGCAAATTTGGTATCCAAGCAAAGACGGCACCAAGATTCCTATGTTCGTCACGCGCAAGAAAAAAGTCGCCATGGATGGATCCAACCCCACTTTGCTCTACGGATACGGCGGTTTCAATATCTCCGTAACACCGTCTTTCTCGGCTTCTCGCGCCACACTACTCGAAAATAATGGCATCTATGTGGTGGCTAACATCCGTGGAGGTGGCGAATTTGGTGAAAAATGGCACAAAGCCGGCACCAAATGCCAAAAACAAAACGTCTTCGATGATTTTATAGGCGCAGCAGAGTACCTCATCGCCAAGGGCTACACCAAGCCCGAAAATCTCGCCATTCAGGGTGGTTCCAATGGCGGACTCCTCGTCGGTGCCTGCATGACGCAGCGCCCAGAGCTTTTTGGTGTTTGTTTCCCGCAGGTCGGCGTACTCGACATGTTGCGCTACCACAAGTTTACCATCGGCAGAGCGTGGTCGGTGGACTATGGTTTGAGCGAAAATAAAGATGAATTTGAGTGCCTTTTGCGCTATTCGCCGCTCCACAATGTAGAAAAAATCGCCTATCCGGCAACTATGGTCACCACTGCCGATCACGACGATCGTGTAGTGCCCGCGCACTCCTTCAAATTTGCCGCAGCCTTACAAGCTCACCAAACCGCTAAAAATCCCACGCTTATCCGCATAGAAACAAGTGCGGGGCACGGCGCAGGCAAGCCCACCAAAAAACTCCTCGAAGAAGCTGCCGACATGCTGTCCTTCATGCTGTACAATATGAAGAAGCGCGTGATTTACTAATGGTTAATTATTAATGGTTAATTATTAATGGCAAGCGTAAAAATACTGCAGATTAATCGCGTAATTCATTGATAACGAGTACATTAACAATTAACAATTAACAATTAAAATGGCAGCCGCCTCCCAAAAAAAATGCCCGCTGGACTTGACCACAAACGCTTGGTCTTTCCAACGGGCATTTTTTTTGGGAGTCGCCGGGCTATCCGTTCCTGCCGATAAAAAAAACGCCTCTTGGGAGCACATCGGTGCATTGGCATTCGTGCAAGGCGTTTTTTTTATCGGCATCCACTACTATCCCTGCTGCTTGTGCTACTATTTACCCACAAAATAAGAACCGCCTTTTTATTCGAAAAACGGACAAAACCCAAAATAATCAATTCAACCAAGCCCAAGCGTTAGGACGAGCCTTATGGAAATTCAGATTTTGGGCATAAATAAATCGTGCCGAAGGCAAAAATAGTCATTTTGAAAACTGTTTGAGCGAAGCGAGTTTTTTCAAAATGACTATT